CAGGGAGGCGGCACTGTGGGGCCTGTCACAGTGGGATCTGCGCGGAGCCTTTCTTCATCCGTGAGGAACACTGAGGCCGAGTCTCCCAGCCTGTCTCTAGTTGTCGGCAGTCAGGTAGAGCAGTCTGTCTTCCCGGAGGTGGGGTCCTGGGGCACCGTGGGGGCATGCAGAGCGGCCACCCCAGAGCCTGTCCTGCCTGCACCCCACCACGCCCTGGCCACTGGGACTCACGCCTGTCATTTTGTATCATCTGTCTTAACCATCTTATGGTCCGTGAACCTTCTCGGTCCAAAGCTGTGGACCCTCCCCCAGGGAAGACACTGCCTAGGGCACATTTTCGTACCAATCCAGGGAGGTGGTAGCCCCTACCCAGCAAGGCCATCCCGGGAGTCAGTTTCCGTGGAGGATGACAGGAGCATCTGCCCTCGGGGCAGCCCCAGTGGGGAGGGCTTGCTGCGGGACAGTGACCAGTTTGCCCCGCGGACACCTCGGCAGTCTCGCACTGAGCTCACTGTCCCTGTCACAGACGGTGAAGCATCCTCTGTGCGTGAAGCACCCGCCGTCGGTGAGGTACGCCCAGGGCTTTCTCTCGGAGCTCATCAGAAAGGTCAGTGGCGGGCACTGCCCATCGGAAGCCATTCCCCTCCGGGATCCTGGGTCCTTTCTGGGCTCTTTGCCTGCCCCACAAACCCCTATGGCAGAGGCTCCCCGTGAGCCTGCAGAGGGGCCTGACTCCCTCCGCCTCCAGGGCTCCCAGCAGCGCTGCAGCTCCTCTGTCACAGCCCAAGGCAGCACCCAGTCCCCAGCAGCCCCAGCGCCAAAACCCAGCGTCGTCCTGGCCTGCAGGCCAGGGAGTGACTGCCTCCTGCCGTTGCCCGTGTCCAGAGGCCACACAGTCCCCCTGGGGCACTTGCAGTACTTTTGCAACGGGTTCCCCTTGTCTCCCCCAGGGAATCTCCTGGCGGTCTGGCCTCTCCCTGCCCGTGCACAGCGTGTTCTAAGGATACGCCCAGATGCGCTGCTCACTTCACAGAGGCCATTCCTCAGTGGACAGTTGCAGACCTTCCTGGACAGGCCCCCCCACCCCACATGGAGCAGTTCCTGCTTCCCTCAACCCCCAGCTCTCCCCAGCCCGGCACGTGCAGCAGCCCCCCACGCCTCCAAGAGGGGGCTACTCTGGTGGGCCCCACCTGGGTGCCCCGGCCCCATGCCTGGGCCACCTCAAAGCCCCATTTGCCCTGCACGTCTCTGGCGCCCTGGCACAGCGCGTCGCCCCGCCGCGGGCCCCAGCAGTGAGCTGCTGGGATGCCGGGGCCCTTCGGCGTCAGCCAGCCCTGGCCAAGTCCCCACTCTACCCTGCAGCACGAGGCTGTCTCCGCAGAGCCACTGGACGAGCTGTACGAGGCGTTGGCCGAGGGCCTGAGGGCTGAAGACACCGACCAGGGCCACCGCAGCTACCTGCTGGTAAGACGGGCCCATGCGCGCACAGCCCGGCCCTGTCTCGGTAGCGAGGCCCTCAGGCCTGACAGGGCCCCTCATGTGTGCCGCAGGCGGGAGCGCCTGTGCTGGCCAGGCTGAGAGCAGGGTGCACACTGGCTGTGAGCAGGGACCTGGGCCTCCGACCCCCAGAAATGCCGAGCGGGGGCCTGTGCCACCGCCCACCTGGACACACGTCCCTGGGCCCGTCTGCTCTTCCGCCTCCGCACCCCCAAGGTCCAGTCTGCTCTCCACAGCCAGAGGGCCTGGGGTCTCTTGTTTGCGTTTCCCCTCTTACAAGAAGATGGAACACGGTGGCCAGCGAAAGCAGACGCTCAGCTGGTCCAGGGCGGCAGAGGGCGTGAGACATCTCTGCAGCCAGCTCGCTGTGTGCACCTCGGGAAGGTTCTTAAATAAGACCGTCCCTGAGTTCTGCCAGAGCCGCCGACGCTGGCGCCCCGGCCCCACTTCCCACCTCCAGTCTGCCGAACGCCGCTCTGGCCTCTTTGGCAGTGGCAAAGCCTGTGGGCCGGACTCTGCCCCTCTGCGTCACGCGCCTTTTCTCTTAGATGGTCACAGCGGGTCTGAGAGGTCCAGTGTTTTATTAGACGGCATCTCGAGGTTTGAGGGTCTGGGCAGTGGCTACCTCGTGCGTTCACTCTGGCCTGTCCCCCTCCCACCCTTCCTAGGGTCACCTGGTGGCGGCTGGACCCCAGCCCCCCTGGGTGCTCAGGAAGTGTGTGGATGAACACACACGGGAGCCCAGAGCCCCCACCCCAGGGCTTGCCTGCCGGTGCTGTCTCAGCAGCCCTGGGGCCCAGAGCGCGCTTCTGGGCTGCATCGCCCGAGCACCCCACCAGCAGCCCCAGCCCCGCCCAGACATCAGGCTGAGCCAGGGAGGCGCCGTGTGATGTTGCGCGCCAAGCAAGGGTCCCCAAGAGTTGTGACGTTTGGTGGTCGTTGACAACGGCAACATCACAGGAAGCTGCTGAGGTAGAACCAAGAGGCCCCCGGTCCTTTTCCCAGAGCCCTGAAGGAAACAGCCGAGCCGGCGGTGGCCAGAGCGTGAGGTTCCACATCATTTATCACACATGCACCTGCACAGGCAGCTCCCCAGTTGAGGCGGAACTACCTGCCCCCCCACAAAGCGCACCCCCAGGCCCCACGCTGTGCTCACACCACCCCGCCCCACATCCTCGCCGCCCAGCTGGCTGTGCCACTTGCTCTTGTGCTGATGGTGCGGGCCAGATGGGCCTTCTGAGGGTGGCTTTTTGCTCAACATAACACCCTTGGGTCCATCTAGACTGGGCGTGGCCACTGGGTCGCTCCTGTTTGTCGCTGTGTAGTATTCCCCAGCACAGGTTGTGTTTAGCTGTCCACCTGCTCGGATTTTTTAAACTGAATTAATTCTGAATTCTCCCTGTCTCTGTCCAGCCTTCTGGGGACTCGGTCACCCTCTCGGAGAGCACGGCCATTGTGTCCCATGGCACGACCGGTCTGGTCACGTGGAATGCTGCTCTCTACCTGGCAGAATGGGCCATGGAAAACCCGGCAGCCTTCGCCCACAGGTGACCTGAGAGGTCAGGGCACCGCAGGGGAGGGGCTTGCCTCGCAGTCACGGACACAGGTCCCATTCTCACACCAGGACTGTCTTGGAGCTGGGCAGTGGGACGGGCCTCACAGGCCTGGCCATTTGCAAGACGTGCCGTCCCCGAGCCTACATCTTCAGTGACTGTCACAGCCGTGTCCTCGAGCAGCTCCGAGGGAACGTCCTTCTCAATGGCCTCTCGTTGGAACCAGATGTCACCACCCCTGCGCAGCACCCAGGACACCCAGAGAGCCCCAGGGTGACAGTCGCCCAGCTGGACTGGGACGTTGTGACGGGCCCTGAGCTCGCTGCCTTCCAGCCAGACGTGGTCATCGCGGCAGGTGCTGCGGGCAGGGCAGGGTGTGGGCTCCTGCTAGAGGGTGTCATGCCACAGCTGAGTGGACAGGCTTTGTGTCCCTCTTTGGCAGCCTGAGGGCCACCAGAACCGAAGGGACATGGCCAGAACCAGGCACCTGCCCCAGCCCCGCCACACCTGCCCATTCACCCCCAAGTGCCCAATAGGCCACCCCAGTCTCAGACGTGGGGCAGAGATGGCCGTGCAACCTGGCATTTCCGGGGCCCCAGGCGTGGCACGTCCCGATTCCTGTGCATGTCGGGGCCACCCCGGACCAGGCTGTGGTCAGGCCAAGGCTGGGCGGAGTAGGAAAGGAGCCCGAGTCCCACCTCTGCCTGCTCCATGTCTGCCGTCACTGTGTGTCACTTGGCCAACTTGTGACCAGTAGGTCCCCGTGTCCTCAGTTCACGCCCTGGTGTCCTTGAGCAGAGACGTTTGGCAAACGGGTCCCTCATCCCCCGCTAAGCTCGCCGGTCCCCTCAGCACTATGCTCGCCCCTGGCCCGAGCATCCGCAGCCCCGGGCCCCACGCGCACCCACTCCAGTGACCTGGCGCTTCTGTCACAGATGTGCTGTACTGCCCGGAAACCGTCCTCTCCCTGGTCAGTGCCCTGAAGAGGCTCTCCACCTGCCGGGCGGGCCCGGGGACGCTCAACGCCTACATCGCCTTTACTGTCCGCAACCCAGAGACGTGCCAGCTGTTCACCACCCAGCTAGGTGAGCGGGCCCAGGCCCACGCGCCGCCCGCCGCAGGTGGGGTGGGCCCTGCAGGGCGCCGGAGGGGGCTCCCACCGTCATCCCGGGGCCGAGGCAGGTGGCCCCACTGGGGTCACAGCAGGCTCCTTGAGCGTCCTTGCCGGGACACAGGGCCAGCGCCAGCGGGGCTGTGCTGCGCGGCTCAGGAGAAGGCAGGCCTCTGGGTGGGGAAACACCGCAGTGCGTCCAGGGCAAACGGCCAACTGTCCACACCACAGGTGGGCTAAGTCCATTTGTATGTGGCAAACATCTTCACATTCCCTCCACACGGGGAACCTGGCATATTCGCCAGCTAACAGCGTTACGCTCAGGTGACAGGACACCTCACACCTTCACCTCATGGTTTTATACATACTTTTCACTCGTAAAAACCGGGGGCAGAGGCCTCGGCTCAGACCTCTGCTCACGAGGGCGACCGAG